TATATTCGTTTTCGTCTAATTATGCTCCAGTAGTAAAAGCTTGCTCGAAGAACCAGGTCTTAACCTTTTTGTGGAATGTTAGAAGGGAGGGAGCCGATCTTACATCCCTGGGAAGGGTGTTCCATATCCGAGGGGTCACAACTGAGAAGGCCCTGTCTCTCGTCCCACCAAATGTATCTGTGAATAAGGTGGGACCGAGAGCAGGGCCTCCCCAATAATAATAATAAATAATAACACTTTATTTGTACCCAGCTACCATCTCCCCAAGGGACTCGGTGAGGCTTACATGAGGCCAAGCCCAAATACAACAATATAAGCCAGGGGTCCCCAAACTTTTTAAACAGAGGGCCAGATCATAGTCCCTCAAACTGTTGGGGGGGGGGCGGATTATAATTTGAAAAAACATGACTGAATTCATATGCACACTGCACATATCTTATTTATAGTGTAAAACATTTTAAAGCAATACAATAATTAAAATGAAGAACAATTTTAACAAATATAAAATTATTATTATTTCAATGGGAAGTATGGGCCTGCTTTTGGCTGATGACATAGGATTGTTGTTGTTGTTGTTGTGTGCTTTAAATTCATTTCAGACTAAGGTTGACCCTGAGTGAGGGCCGGGTAAATGACCTTGAAGGGCCGTATCTGGCCCCCGGGCCTTAGTTTGAGGACCCCTGATATAAGCAATTAAAATAAAAACATGTACAATAAAATAATGAAACATTAACAATAACACAACACACAATTAAAACTGTGGGAAGGCCAAATGTAAAATTAAAATTGAAAATAATGTTGGAACATGGGGGGAAAAAGTGATGGGGTGTTTGTGGAAAACATACAAGCAGACCTAAAAAAATGTAAAGTGCTATGGGATCATTATTCTGGGAAGGCACACTGGAACAACCACGTCTTCAAGCTCCTCCTAAAGACTGCCAGAGTTGGGGCCTGCCTGATGTCCTTAGGAAGTGAGTTCCAGAGTCGAGGGGCCACCACCGAAAAGGCCCTCTCTCTCGTCCCCACCAATCGTGCCTCCCCAAATGATCTTAAGGTCCTAGATGGTTCATAAGGAGATATACATTTGGATAGGTAAGCTGGACTAGAACCGTTTAGGGTTTTATAGGCTAAAGCCAGCACTTTGAATTGTGACCATTAGCAGACTGGCAGCCAGTGGAGCTGGCACAACAGAGGAGTCGTGTGCACCCTGAGTGCCGCTCCCGTTAGCAACCTGGCTGCCGCTCGTTGAACCGTTTGGAGCTTCCGGACAGTCTTCAAAGGGCAACCCCACGTAGAGAGTGTTGCAGTAGTATTTGTCAGTACCTCTCCCTAGGCACATTTGGAGCTGCAATTTTGTAAGCAGAGGGATAGAGATCAGTAATAAATATTGTTCAGCACTGTTCTCAACCTTGAATTCTTAGGCCTGTTGGAAGAGGGGGCTGAGACAGTTAAATGATCATGTCGCCCATTAAAACCTGTTGTGTTTGTAAGTGCAAACAACTCAGGGCTTGTCTCTTCTCAATCCCATCTAAACTGCTCCCATTTTCAGTAACAAGAGCCAGGGATTTGGGAAGTGACATTTCAAAGTGTTCTTTTATTGCAACGATTCCCACCTCCCCCCACTTTCCCTCCACAGACACGCAACACCCTTTTATTATTATTTTAGCAGGTTGAAGTTCAACCTCTGACAGCCGAGGTGCCGTTTGGAATTTCTGCTGCTGTTGCGACTGCTGTCAGAACAAAAAGCTAAAGGGAAACAAGTTACGATGGGAAATAAATTAAGCCATGCTCGGCCTAGGTATGGGTGCACGGAGTCAGCGTTTTCTTCATCCCAATGCCAGCGCTAAAGGCATGCTGCTTTAAACCTTGCTCGACATGAGATATTCAAGTATAAACTCCAACCCGGGCGATTAATTTTGCTAGCTCCTCTTTTTTCCCCACATCTGAGTTGATTTGTTCTTGATTTCCTGCAGAACTGCAGAGGCATTTGCAAATTCTGTGGTGCCCAAGAGCCGATCTAATATGTCTTACATTGAAACAGATAAGAAATGATATCTGGTGGAACAAGCACAAAACTAAGCAGTATTAATTTTACTGATGGTACAATCATAAAAGCATTAAGAGAGCCTTGCTGAATCAGAGCCGCTTGCCTTCAAAAATGCTATTTCGGGGCAAAATGAAGCCCAAGGGTAGAAACTGGTTTTGTGATGGAGCAGAATATGATGGACCAGCGGTGTCTGCCAACATCTTCTAACTCTAGTGTTTCTCAACCTGGGGGCCAAGACCTCTGGAGGGGTGGTGAGGTGGTGTCAAAAGGGTCGCCAAGGACCACCAGAAAACAGTATTTTCTGTTGGACATGGGGTCCTGTGTAGGAAGTGTGGCCCAATTCTATTGTTGGTTAGATTCAGAATTGTCTTTTATTGTAGGTGAACTATAAATCCCAGCAACTACAACTCCCAAATGTCAAGGTCTATTTTCCTCAAACTCCACTAGTGTTCACATTTGTACATATTGAGTATTCGTGCCAAGTTTGGTCTAGATCTATCATTGTTGGAGTCCACAGTGCTCCCTGGATGTAGGTGAACTGCAGCTCCAAAACAACATCAATGCCCATCAAACCCTTCAAGTATTTTCTGTTGGTCATGGCAGTTCTGTGTGCCAAGTTTGGTTCAATTCCATTATTGGTGGAGTTCAGGATGCTCTTTGATTGTAGGTAAACTTTAAATCCCAGCAACTACAACTCCCAAATGACAAAATCAATCCCTCAACCCCACCAGTATTCAAATTTGGTCATATTGGGTATTTCTGCCAAATTTGGTCCAGTGAATAAAATGCATCCTTCATATCAGATATTTACATGACAATTCATAAAGTAGCAAAATTACAGTTATGAAGTAGCAATGCAAATAAATTTATGTTTGGGGGTCACCACAACATGAACTTTATTAAGGGGTCGCACCATTAGGAAGGTTGAGAAACACTGCACTAGAACATCTATCCACTTCCAATCCAGTTGCTGACTCCTGCAGAATTCTGGGCTTTGTAGTTTAGGGAGGGGCCTTTAAACTGCCCAAACAAAGAGATCCTGGGCTTCACTAAACTACAAACCCCAGAATTCTGCAAGAGGCAGCAACTGGATGTAAAGTGGATACATGCTCAAGTGTGATGAAGTTCTAAGACTGATAAGGGTTGTATTCAAAACCCTCTGAACTGTTGGAGAAGCTGCTCTGTGCTGTTATGTTGTCTTCAGAGACTAATCATTAAATTGAAGCACCAGCTTTCTTTTCAAAAAGTATTTGTTGAAAGAGGTATATGAAACCACTCTGGAGGCATTTACTTTTGGCCCAAAGCATTCAGCACTGCTTGATGGTCTACATTTAATGGCTGTATTTTTTTAAAGGACTGCTGATAAGAAATACAAGCAGGGGCAGCTCCACCCATTACGCAAAGTAAGCATTTGTAGTATAGTTGATTTTGCTCAGGGGCGCTCTTGAGGGAAAATAGACCTTGACATATGCGAGTTGTAGTTTCTGGGATGTATAGTTCACCTACAATCAAAGAGCATTCTGAACTCCACCAATGATGGAATTGAACCAAATATGGCACACAGAACTCCCATGGCGAACAGAAAATATATATCAGTGATTGGTTTGGGGGGGGGGGGGCACCAAAGTACTGTTAAATTACCATTGAAAATTACCTAGGGCCGCCTCTGAATACAAGACACCAGATTCCCCGGGGAAGGGGCATGACCTGTAATCTGGTTTTAAGTCTAGTATAAAAATGCCCTCTAGTCCCATGGTATTTTCTGAAGACTTCAGGTCTGGGCAGGTTAGGACCTAGATAGGAAATTGCCTTTATTTATTTCGTGTCAAAAGTATTGCATAAATAAATGTAAAAGCTGATAAAATAGAGGGAACACAAAGTGCTAAATTATTTTTGACCAAAAACGGGGGACAGCAACCACATTGTCTGTAGCTTTAAACAATTCTTCCTCTGTGCATGAGTCAGGGCATTGTAGGCAAGTATACAGATGTGGAGTTGTTTGTTCTGCTTCACGGTCACACAAGGTGGAGGATTCTTTTAGGTAGTGCCATTTTGCCAGGTTGTCTTTTGATCTGCCCTCTCCACTTCTGAGTCTGTTTGGGGACTTCCAGGTTGTCCATTCATGGTTTGCCCCTGGAGGAAGACCCTCATCGGGGGGGGGGGGGGCATCCATTTGGGATTTCCTGATTTAGCTTCCCAGAGGGATACTCTTGCTGTTGATGGAGGAACATTGAGAGGAGTGGTGGTTCTCATGAAGCTTTCCCTTAATTTGAATCTACTGGGAAGAGGCTGATAGCCATGTAGTGGGTGGCTTTCATATTGTGCAACCTTATTTCTTTTCCCAGTTATCAGCAACTTCCTGTCACACATCAGCGGAAGCAATGCCAGCTAGCTTATAGAGTCTTTCAACGGGTATAGGTTTGAGACATCCTGTGATTATTCTGCATGTTTTGTTCAGTGCTATGTTGACCTGCCTCATGTGAGCAGACTTGTGTCAAACAGGGAAGGCATACTCAGCAGTTGAGTAAGACAAGGCCAGGGATGATACTCTTATTAGGTTGGGGTCTGCACCCCATGCGCTGCCAGTAAGTTTCTGCAGTATGTTATTGCATGCATCTACTTTGTGCTTGGTGTTCATGCAGTGTTTCTTGATGTTAGTGCTTGATCTAAGGTGACACCGAAATATTTAGAATGGAAACAGTGTTCGAGCTCTTGGCCTTCCCAGGAAATTGCCTGAGAATGCTATGTATGCTGACTTGATTTTCAGGACAGAAGAAATGTGGGATATATGTGCAATAAATAAGAAATTTCCGCAGGATTTTGTAGTTTCATTTGGCAGCAGGCCTTGGAACTGTGCGTCAGCAAGTAAATTTTTTGGACTGGATGCAACAACTCATGATATCATAAGCCCTTTTTTCTCTCCTTTCCCTTTTGTGTCGTCTTCTCTCCATAGATCAGAGTGAAGGCTTTCATTGCCGGGAAGAGTGTCGGATCCTTGGCCACTCTGATCGTTGTTGGATGCCCCGGAATCCGGTCCCCAGCCGAGCGAAATCCCCCGAACATGGAAGAAACGTCATGTCCCTTTCTATAGAAGCCACCACTGTGGATACAGAGCTTTACGAAGACTGTGGCGCCAAGAGGACTTTTGCGACGTTTGGCAAAGATGGGAGCGAGCCTGTCTCCGAAGAGCGGGGCCCGGTCAACGCAAAAGGTAAAAGGACAGTGGATCTCCCCCTCTGTAGCCCCAAAGTGAACGGCGCAGTCCGGGAGGCAGGGAACGGCTGCGAGGCTGTGAGTCCCATCACGTCGCCTGTCCACCTGAAGAGCCCCTTGTCGAGCAAATCAGTGTCCTTCAGCAAAACGCACTGCCCGGCAAACCGTGACCTGGAATCGTTTGTAAACAATGGCCCTTCTCGGCCCATGGAGGCAGAGCCGAGAGGCGCAGACAGTGAAAACATAATGCATGAGATTAACCCTCTTCTGCAAGAATGTAGAGAGAAAGACTCGCCCGGCGTGAAGAGGCTAAAAGACATAGTACTCTAAAGCCACACTGGAGAGGAGGGGACGCGGGGCGGGGGCAGTACAGGGCGTATGTATTGTTTTTAACAGCTTACTGATGGTTCACACATTTGCTGTAATTTAAAAGCTTTCCCTAAATGTATTGTTTATAAAATGAAGCTATCCTTCATGTGACAATCCCACTTGGTTCAACAGGGGACAGGGGCGTTGGTCAGAGCAAAGCGAGCACCCTTTCTTCCCCAGTTTTCCTGTGTCTGGAGTGGCGGAACAGTGGCCGTTTGGTGAATGGAAATATTGTCGAGAAAGTATTTTGAAATTATATATTTTTGTAGCTCAAAACCTTTAATGTGAAATCCCATTCTATATGAAGAACTGAGGGTTTTTTTTTCGTGTCAGGAGCAACTTGAGAAACTGCAAGTTGCTTCTGGTGCAAGATAATTGGCTGTCTGCAAGGATGTTGCCCAGGGGATGCCCAGATATTTTTGATGGTTTACCATCCTTGTGGGAGGCTTCTCTCATGAAAAGCATACTATGAAAAAGGCACTGAATGCCCCTGTTTATTTAACCTGCCCCTTATTAGAATCATAGAATCATAGAATCAAAGAGTTGGAAGAGACCTCATGGGCCATCCAGTCCAACCCCCTGCCAAGAAGCAGGAATATTGCATTCAAATCACCCCTGACAGATGGCCATCCAGCCTCTGTTTAAAAGCTTCCAAAGAAGGAGCCTCCACCACATTATTAAATCAATAGGAGCCCTCAGTGGCACAACGGGTTAAACCCTTGTGCCGGCAGGACTGAAGAGCGACAGGTCGGAGGTTTGAATCCGGGGAGAGCGTGGATGAGCTCCCTCTGTCAGTTCCAGCTCCCATGCAAAGGAGACATGAGAGAAGTCTCCCACAAGGGTGGTAAAATATCAAAACATCCGGGCATCCCCTGGGCAATGTCCTTGCAGACTGCCAATTCTCTCACACCAGAAGTGACTTGTTTCTCAAGTCACTCCTGACATGAAAAATATATATAAATAAATGGGGTGCCCATTCCTCATGGCATAACAGCAAACTGGGAAGATTCCTGTTTTGGTATCAGAGCTCTATGGAGCTGTGGCTTGTGAGTTTTCACCCTGAACCAGAGCTAAATGTCTGCTTTGAGGATGTTGCTCTTTTGCAATGAACCGCCCCTGCCTTTAGAATCCTTTTGCTGCCACTTGCTTCTCTGTACTATTATTGTATTTGGTATTGCAAATTCCTGTATGTCTAGTGATGGAAAAGGCTTTGAAGTTTCTTGGTTCCTTTTTTTTGGGTGGTGGTTTTTCTACAAACAAACAAACAAAAAAATTGTAAAAACTTGGGAAAAAATGCAAAAGTTAGAGTGAGTCTTGTCACTGCTTGTCATTTTGCCAAATGTTTCTCTTTCTTTCCCCATCATTGTGCAGCGTTTCTTTCCCATGTCATTTCGGGGTTATTCTGGCATCTCATTTGCAACTGTTAGATACACATGCTGAAATTTTTATGAAATCATTCCTTTTCCCCCCCTTGCAGTCTCAAGGAAATATGAAGCATAATTTCTCTAAAAGTAACACTGATTTCCAGGAATGAATGTTTTCTGTTTTTTTTGAAAACTGTCAGAACCAGAAGAGGGGAAGGATGCTTCTCAGCTTAATGCATATTCACTGCCACACTTCCATGACTTAAAATATTTCTCTCATGTTTAAATGCATTTGCCCCATCCATTGTCCCATTGCTGTGTAGCATTGCCACACCAGTGATGCTCATTTAGTTAACTAAAGCCACTGGTATCTTAATGCTGTATAAGGTGGCTCCCTTAATGTTTTCAGATGGCATCTCCGATGGTGTGTTATTGTTGACTATGCTGGCTTGGATTTATAGTTCTATAGGTTTATGTGGGAGACATCATGCATAAGTAGACATTATGCTGACATAAGTCTATGGGCTGACACCATGCATAAGTAGAGTCCTGGCATTATAGATTAGTCTTTTTTCTTAGATGCATTGTTCCTGAATCCACCTCTTCTCATTGTGTTTATGTCGGCACAGTTCAGTTTCCCCACTTGCTCAAGGTGTAAGCAGTCATGGTTCTCCAGATGTGTTGGACAGCATAGCCAAAGGGGAAGGATGCTGGGAATTGCAGTCCAACAACACCTGGAGAGCCATAGCTGCCCAACCCTGGGCTATATTCATGGTTGTCTGAGTTCCCATCCCAAACATGTCCAAGCTTTTCAAGAGATCCCAAATAGTGGCCTTTCTTCATGACTATACCAGAGATGTCTAAACATCTAATACAGTGGTTCTCAACCTGTGGGTCCTCAGGTGTTTTGGCCGACAACTCCCAGAAATCCCAGCCAGCTTACCAGCTGTTAGGATTTCTGTGAGTTGAAGGCCAAAACACAGGTTGAGAAGCACATGAAATACAGCTCTTCCCAGTTCCCTCCTTATCAGGTGACATTGGACTAACCCTTTTACTTCGAGGCACCCCACCCACCATCCCTCAACAGGTCCCCAACTTCCAGTCAGTCCCACTAAATAAAAAGAATCAGGAAAATAAAGGAAAATAAAAAAAGGTTCAATTGTGATACCGAATAGAGGAGGCGGAACTGAGATTGTCTGCCACTTGCTTTCGTATCGGGCAGATTTTCATACCAGGAGGGCCCTTCCCGTTTCGAGTACCCGAACAAAATTGAGAAACCGGTTTGACTGAAGGAATGGCTAAAAACAGATCCGGGCAGAAGTCTACAGCCAAGCAATTCTATATATGTCTGCTCAGAGTTAAAATCAACTGTGTCCAGTGGGTGTTTTCTCCATAGGAAGTGTGTTGTAGGATTGCAGCTGTACTGGCTGAGGCAGTGTCTCTATCATTTGAAGCAAACTAATAGCTGTATCCATATCTTATGAGTTAAGTAGGGCTCTGCATGGTTAAATTGTCAGACCTTTTGATCAGAAGGGATGCTTCTGTCATCTGTCAGCCTCAGCCTCCCTGCCCCCTCTGAGCCTAGTTGCCATCTTCATAGTCCTTTTGGGTGGGGGACTGATTTTCCCAGGAGTTGTGTTGCTTTTCAGATGCAAGGGCATGATTTGGCCTAGAGAGAATCTTCTAGTTTCCCAAAAGACATGCACCCGGGTGAATTATTTTTTTGTGTCAGGAGCAATTTGAGAAACTGCAAGCTGCTTCTGGTGTGAGAGAATAGGCCGTCTGCAAGGACGTTGGCCGGGGAATGCCTGGATGTTTTACCATCCTTGTGGGAGGCTTCTCTCATGTCTGCATATGGGGAGCTGGAGCTGACAGAGGGAGCTCATCCGCACTCTCTGTCGGCTCCTACTCGGTTGAGATGAAAACGGATGTGATGGAATCAACATGGGCTGCAGGCAGTTTTGGAGTCTTCTTGGTGCAATCGGTGAGAGGATCAGTGCCCAGTCATAGTTCTGCGCCTAATCCGTACTTATTTCATATCGCTCCAATATTTGCAGAGGTGAAATTAATTTGCCTTGCCGCAGGGAATAGGGATAATACTCAATCAAATAGAACCTTGCTGAACGTAGCATTTGTTGGACTTTCTTAGTTGGTCTGTAGATTGTTTGTAGGTTGTGTTTCCTCATCCTCAACCTTGTTTTGTTCCCCACTGAAGATTTTCAGGGAGGGCTTGGCCGTTGTTCTTTCTGCAAACTCCTGCATTTGAGAGTATTTTTCTTTTTGCCCTGGAACATACTTCTGTGGGCGCCGAGATCAGTGGGAAAGGAAATATATTGCTGTTTCAACACTTGCACTGCCAATCAACAGAAAATAATGGTTTCTAGAGAAATAATCTTCCTGGCTCTAACCTATCTTGATATAAAAAAAATTTAGTCACTTTTGATTTATTTAAATTAAAAAAAATGGCTACAGGAAAAAACAGCCTCCAATCTTTATCGTCCCGAAAATCAAATAAGCTGGAGTAATTTCAGTAGAGAAAATGGATAGGGCCTGGCGTTCTGCTTTTCCATGCAGTTCTCTTAATTTATAGACTGTCAGTGTGTTTTATTTGCCCAGTAATTTGAAACTTTGTGTTTTTGAAAAAAGGAATTTGCAATGAAATCACCCCACACACACGCTTCTAATTGATGTGGCTTATTATAAACTCTTGGAGACACAGCCGCTTGGGAGATCCAATCCATGGAAATTGCTGGTGCAAAGAACCGGGGAAAATACATTTGCAAAAGGCATGCTGTGTGATCAAAGAATGCATATGGATAGGGACTGGGCATCAGATGAACAGGAAGGACAGGCCCGGGGCTTGTTTCAGAAAGTGGGAACATATCTCTGACCAATTAAAAGCCCCTTGGCATTTGTATTGCTTTGTAAGCAAAGACATTGCAGTTTGGGTTGCAGTGAGTTTTCCGGGCTGTATGGCTACGTTCCCGAAGCATTCTTTGCTGACATTTCACTCACATCTATGGCAGACATCTACTAACACTGAGGCCTACTAACACTGCGGTTTACCTCACACTGAGGCCTCTCTCAGAATTTATTTATTTATCGTGTCAGGCAACCGAACAGTTGTATTACATTTTTGACAGAACAAACAAACAAACATACAAAAGACACAGAGTTTGCAAGCTTGGTAGTTGATTAAATGTCCTTTGACCAGTATCTGGCCACTTGGAGTGCCTCTGGTGTTGCTGCAAGAAGGTCCCCCATTGTGCATGTGGCAGGGCTCAGGTTGCATTGCAGCAGGTGGTCAGTGGTTTGCTCTTCTCCACACTTGCATGTCGTGGATTCCTCTTTGTAGCCCCATTTCTGAAGGTTGGCTCTGCATATCGTGGTGCCAGAGCGCAGTCTGTTCAGGGCCTTCCAAGTCGCCCAGTTTTCTGTGTGCCCGGGGGGGGGGGGGGGGGGGGGTTGAGTATCAGCCATTGATTGAGGCTCTGGGTTTGAGCCTGCCACTTTTGGATTCTCTCTTGCTGAGGTGTTCCAGCGAGTGTCTCTGTAGATCTTAGAAAACTATTTCTTGATTTAAGTCATTGACATGCTGGCTGATACCCAAACAGGGTATCCAGCAGACAAGAGTTCTTTCTTCCACCTTGAACATTCCACAGATACATAAACCCCACTTGCCCAGTTTCCCACAGACCTCACAACCTCTGAGGATGCTTGCTATAGATGTGGGCAAAATGCCAGGAGATAATGCTTCTGGAACATAGCCAGATAGACCGGAAAACTCACAGCAACCCAGTGATTCCAGCCATGAAAGCCTTCAACAACACACATTGCAGCTTGTTCTTCTAATTCTGAAGTGGGAAATATTTGACCCTCCAGATGTTTTCACCTATTAATTCCTATGAAGCGTTTCCTCTGGTTTGGGATTGTAGACCAAAACGTCTGGGGAGCAAAGTTTTCCTGCCTCTAATACAAGGAATACTGTCCCTTTCTCTATCTCTCCAGACAGCCTTGTGTGCAAGCATCTGTCTACCTGCAGCTCAAAGCATTTTCCCAGTTAAGAGGCCAATATGAATGAACATCTGTTGCTTTCCTTGTCAACATCTCCCACGGTCCAAACCCTTGCAACTTTTCTCACCATCGCCAGTGACAATCTGGCTATCAGATTTTTCTTAACACTGTATATGGATTGTAAAGAGCAGGGAAACAGAGAGGCATCTTGTTGCAGAAAAACAGGTTGAGGGCACAAAATGCTGGATGCTGCCTTACTGTTTGTCCATCCAGGCTAGTACTGTTCAACTCCAACTTAATTTGGACCCTTTGTGGCTTTTCACCTTGGCCCTTCCAGTGAATATTGATGACTGTTAATTCAAGAGGGAGACAAAATAAGCCAATGCTCTGTGAGCTATTAGTAAGAGAGCCCCTGGTTGGGGAAGACTGCACATTATGAAGAGATTTATGTGAAGGATCTACAAGTTTCCTCCTTGTTAAAATGTCATTTCTTAAAAGCTATTTTATTTTCCTCTTGTTTAAGGGTAATATCGATGAATTAACCTGGCCTTGATTCAGCTTCCTGCGGAGCTTTGATTGTGTGCGTACAACTGCCTGGGTTTGAAAACGGTTGCTGTCATTCCTTCCGAAAAATACCAAAAACAAGCTGAGAAGGGGAAACAAACAAGAGACTGCTTTCAGTCTCTTTGGGCATGAAGAAATAAGAGTCCTACGCATCTTGTTTCATGAACACATCCATACTCCTGGTGCAGTGCCAGGAATGCTTTTTGTAGGTAGACAGGACTCAGATATATTCCCTATATTAAGGAGAAAAACAAGATAGAAATTTATTTATTTATTGTATCAGAAGCAAACTAAGGGTACAGTTGTAACGTATGTAAAAAAAACCCACAAAGTTAAAAACTTGGCGTTATACTAAATGTCCTTTGACCAGTAGCTGGCCACTTGGAGTGCCTCTGGTGTTGCTATAAGGAGGTCCTCCATTGTGCGTGTGGCAGGGCTTAGGCTGCATTGTAGTAGGTGGTCTGTGGTTTGCTCTACTCCACACTCGCATGTCGTGGACTCCACTTTGTGGCCCCATTTCTTAAAGTTGGCAGGATAGAAATAAATAAGTAAAAAAATGAGTGCACAGAAATGGGAAGCAATATTATGTTGAGACTACTTGCCACCTTGCTTTAACTCAGTGGTTCCCAAATATTTTGACCAGGAACCACTTCGACCAGGGACCACTCTCCAACATTAGTACCAAAGGGGTTACAAATTGGTTTTTGGTCAACTTTAGATTTGGTTTGGTTATTTGGGGTGCTGATTCAGAAAATTACATTGGATAGACCACATCAGCTCCAGTTTCTGATACAGAACATATGCCATCCAGTAGTCACCATCTACTCATCCACAGAAACCATATTTAATAAGCCTCGGCACTATAAGAGCATTTCGTGAGACCAGGCACTCTCCTTGCAACAGTGTAGTAATGGTGAGGTCGTGGACTATATTTTTGTTCTTGTGAACCACTGGTGGTCTACGGACCACAGGTTGGGAACTACTACTCGGGCTGTGGCTCTCTGGGGTTGTGAAAAGGACTCTTTCAGGCATATTATGGAAAGGTTGGGGATTGAAATTGGGATCTTTTCTATAGAAAGCCCTAGAAGTCCCTCTCTAGCAAGGAGTTCTTCATTCATTCCATCTGGAGGGCACAGATCAGAAGTCAGATTCCTTTAAAATGTTTGGGCCAGAGTATAATTCAATATGTTATGCTGACTGTGCTCATTAGAGAACACATACATCAGGACAAGCGACCACGATCCTCTAAGGTTGTTGGATTGCATGTCCGTCCCTTCAGCCCAAGCAAGCATAGCCACAGTTTGGGTGCGAGATTATGAGAATTGCATCTGGAAGGCCACAAATGTTTGGCCTCAATTCTAGTTCATAACATCAGCCATCTTTTGCTTGAGCTGTTTATCCTCACTGTGATCAAAGGCGGGATTGCATTTTTCTCCACTTGCACCATTTCCCCATCATTTCAATTTAGGAAAGTCATTTTAACGTGCTGCCCTCGCTTCCCTCTTCAGTCTGCCAAAATGTTTCCTCCTGTCCATCTTGCTTTTGCTTACCTGTTGAATCAGTTGGGTCTTTTTTTTTGTCTGCCAGGTAGCATGGGGTTTTTCTTTCCAGCAGTGCTTTCTATGCACAGTAGTAATTTAATCAATGCCTATTTTCTGACCGTCTGGCTCCGAGGGTCCCATAACAAGAGTGAATTTAAAGGCTGTTCATTTTGCGAAAGTGGAAGAAAAAATACCTCCCGCGTTTTCCTTTTGTTTGCTGGGTCAGCTTTTGGGCAATCCTTTTCATGAGTCAAATCATTCTTCACCTTCCCAGGAAAATCAATTTCGGTTGTGTTTTGATTGAAATTTACAAGGTATTGGTGTGGGGAAGGTTGGTAAAAGATGATTCATGGCTAGGGAGAAACTGGAGCCTTTAACCGTACTGTCAAGAAGAGACTGTTGCCATTTCCCTGTGTTCTTGTGAAGCTGGAGATGGCCTGTGATGTGAATCACATACACACATATTGTGATGAAGTGGATTCCGTTTTGCGTTCTTTCCGTTTTCTTTTTCCAAATAGGAAACAAGTTGTAAAGAACACATTATCCAATTAGTATGTTGACATTACTCTTAAGAGAGGATTTCTTTTTCAAGAAGGGAGAAAAAAAGAACCTAATTGCAAATGGGAACTTCATTTGTTGATCAATGCGGAGAATTGATTATCATGTTGGTACAGCTGCATTTGCAGCGTTTCGGTAATCACTGATCCAATGTAGAAGTTGCTTTCACTTCAGCAGAGGAACCCCAGCAAAAACGTCACCATGGCGTTGGTGAGAATGGATTTCTTCCTGGCATCAGCTGATGTTCAGCTGGTTGAAGCTGGGAAAATGTTGCCTTTAGGACCAAGAGCAGACCTGGCAGTGGTTGCCTTCTTCAACAACGGATGGCCACCCAGCACCAACCCAACGCTCAGGTCAAAAGTTGTAGAAATTTTGGAGTCTTATGGCAAAGAGACACATCACGATGCCACCAAATCCGCACTGCCTCCCCAACTGAGGAAAGGTTCCTGTGCGACTCAAGTACACTTTGCTTCCTCATGGTTGTCTCTGTTGCTGAACATATGAAGAACAAAACTTATTGTATATGCTGATATGTATGTTATGTACATTTTCACAGTGATTGAATCATTGTAAACAAGGGGGAAATGGGGGGAAAAAGAATCACCATGCTGTCTATTTTATGAAGATGATAAAGCAGCTTTATTAAATTATTACAACTCTGTTTCAAAATAATGGTGTACCTGCCACGTTGTTTCTTTTCTTTCTTTTTGGAAAAAAAAATACTGATGCAAACTTTGTTTTCCCCACTTCGATGTGATGATTTTTTTTATTTCTTTGCTCTAAAAATCAACTGCATTTTAGTATTAAAGACAAATTATTGAATAAAAACAGAAAATAAGTGTTTGGTTAAATATGCCTTATGTGGGTTTGCTTACTGGGTGAAATCAATCTATGTCTGTATGACTCAGAGTGGAGTATGGTAAACACTTACTTAGGCAAACATTCAATGCCTCTTATACAGTAAACAACCATGACAGACAAATACACAGATAAAGGCAAGGCTTCCCCCTTTCATCTCCGGCATCTGGAGACGGTGCTCAACTCTGGCCGTGGAGAGGTGCTCTTGTTCCATTTCTATGCCGAGGAGACTGTTGTCCATAGACACCTCCTGGTCTTGTCAGCATGGCTTCATGGGGCACCTTTTACCTTCCTGCCAAGGCTGTTCCTATTGAGCTCACAGTTTGTAGGTTAAGTTGGCAGAAGCTAGGGTTGACACAGGGAGCTCACCCCAACCCATGGCTTTGAACTGCCAACCTTCTGGTCAGCAAGTTTTCTGCAGCTAGCAGTTTAACCAGCTGTGCTACTGCAACTCCATTTGCCATAATACTCTCCCCAAGCCACCCTTCTGTTGTCAACCTGGACTCCTCTCCCATGGCTATTTATTGGCAATTCATTGGCCAGAGGAAAATGTAAGGAAGATGAAGCTACGCAGACAGCAACTAGATTTCCTGGGGATCCTTCAGCTGGTCACAGGATACTATAATCTTGAAGCTGGAA